GCAGCTTGGGAGGCTGAGGCAGGAGGATCATGAGTTCCAAACCAGCAACTTAGTGAGGCGCTAAGCAAATCAGTGACACCCTGTCTCTAAGTAAACTACTAAATAGGACTGGGGATGTGGCTCAGAGGTCGAGTGTCCCTGAGTTCAACCCCTTGTACCCCCACCCTCCAAAAAAGAAGAGCACAAATAAATTATCTATACTTCCACCTTAATAAAACTAGAAAGATAAGAGCAAAAGAAACTCAGAACAAGCCAAAGGGGAAAAATAATAAATACAGGACCAAAATCAATGAAATTGAAAATAAAAAAACAAAAGAGAAGATGAATCCAAAACAGAAGTGTTTTGTTGTTTTCGTTGTTGTTGTTGTCGTTACCTGTGGTGCTGGAAATTGAAGCCAAGGCTTTGTGCATGTGAAGCAAGCACTCTACCAACTGAGCTATATCCCCACCCCAAGTAGGCTGGGTGTTGTGGTGTACACCTGTAATCCCAGGGGCTTGAGAGGCTGAGGCAGGAGGATCATGAGTTCAAAGCCAGCCTCAGTAATTTATCAAGGCCCTGTCTCTAAATAAAATATAAAAAGGGCTTGGGATGTGGGCTGAGTGTTTAAGTGCCCCTAGTTCAATCCCGGCACCAAAAACAAAAACAAAACAAACAAACAAAAAATCCAAAACAACATTCTTTGAAAAGACCAATGAATTTCAAGCCTCTAGAGCAACTGGAAAAACAGAGAGAGAGGTAGGGAGAGAGAGAAAGAAGACATAAATTAACACCTCTGGAATGAAAGGGCGATTATTACTATGGATCTCATAGAAAGTAAAAGAATAATAAGGGAATACTTGAAACAATTCTGCATACACAGACTCACCAATGTAGATGAAACAGAATGATTCTTTGAAACCACAAATTACCAAACACTCCCAAAATGAAATAGACGGCTGATAGTTTTACAACTATTTAAAAAATCAATTTATAGTTTGAACCCTTCCAAAATATGAATCTCCAGATCCAGGTGGTTTTATGGTGTGAATTCTACCAAACATTGAAGAAGAAATAACACAAATCTCCAGTCTTTTCCAGAGCATGAGAATAGGAGGAAACACTTTCCAAGCATTTTATGCTACCCAAACCAGAGAAAGATTACAAAAAAAAAAAAAAAAAAAGATTATGTCTTTGAACAAAACCCTTCAATAATATATTATCAAATCCACATGAAAAAGACGTTCAGCATCATTAAAGAAATGCAAGTCAAAATTGTAAGATACCACTTCACACTCACTGCTATGGCCATTAAAAAAAATGAGGAATAATAACAAGTTTTGATGAGGATATAGAGAAACTGAAATTCTCATACATTGCTGGTAGGTATGTAAAATGGTGTTGCTCTTTGCAAAACAATTTGATAGTTTCTTAAAATTTTAAATATAAACTTATATCACAGCAATTATACTACTATCTACATAATCAAGAAAAATCAAAATACACATTCACAAAAATTTATGCACTAATGTTGATAGCAGCATAATTCATAATAGTCAAAAATGAAAACAACCCACATGTCCATCAACTGATGACTGGACAAATAAAATGTGGCATACCCATCCAATGGAATATTATTTAGGCACTAAAAGAAATAAAGAAAAGGTATGGCCAAGAGGTAGCACATGCCTGTGATCCCGGCGGCTCAGGAGGCTGAGACAGGAGGATTGCAAGTTCAAAGCCAGCCTCAGCAAAAGCAAGGCGCTAAGCAACTTAGTGAGACCCTGTCTCTAAGTAAAATACAAAAAAGGGCTAGGGATGTGGCTCAGTGGTTGAGTGCCCCTGAGTTCAATCCCTGGTAACCTGCCCCCTGCCCAAAAAAAGGCATGTCCTACAACATGGATAAACCTTGAAAATGAAAGAAGCCAGGTACAAAGCATGAAAGTTAATATTGTATGATTCCATTTATGTAAATGTATAAAATAGCCAAATTCTTAGAGACAGAAAGTGGATTAGTGGTTGTCAAGACCTGTGGAGGGTGAAGAAGGGAACTGGTAGTTATTACTAATGAGTATGAGGTTTCTAACTGGGGTGATGAAAGTGTTTTAAAATTAGATAATGGTTATAGTTGCATAACATTGTGATTACTAAAAACCACAGAATTGAATACTTGAAAAGGGTTGATTTTATGGTATGTGAGTTATATCTAAATAAAGCTGTTAAGAGTTTATTAGCAAATCAAATACAGTATACATAAAATGAAGAGTACACCATGACCAGTGGAGTTTATTTAGGAAATACAAGATGGGTTAAAAATTTAGAAGTCCATCAGTGTATACTACAATATTAACAGCCAGAAAAGAGAAAACCCTCACAATCCAACTAACTAATAAGGGAAAGCATTGGACAGAATTCAGTATCCATTCATAATAAAAATCTCTCCGCAACCTAGGAATAGAAAGGAATGTCTTTGCTATGATTCAGATGCCTCCCAAAAGTTCATGGGCTGGAAGGTCAGTCCTCAGCATGGCAGTACTGAGGTGACAGAACTTCTAAAAGGTAGACAGTGGTTAAGTTACTGTGAGCACAGATCATGGCTAGTTTAGGCAACTAGCAAATTGTTCTAAAAAGAGCAAGTATGGACCCTGGGTTGCTCTTGCTTCCTGATGACCACATGAGCTCTCCTTCGGGCATATACACCAGCCATAATGCCATTCTCCATGCTGTGATGTAGTTAATGAGGCCCTCGCCAGAGGCCAAACAGATATGACTGCCTCATCTTGGACTTCTACCCTCCTCTAAAGCTGTGAGCTAAATATGCCTCTTTTTTTTTTTTTTAAGTACCCAGCATCATTGTTACAGCAATAGAAAGCAGACTAATACAATCCTCAATCTGATTGATACAAATTACTCCCCACTAAAAACACACAAACAAAAACTATACACCCAAATATAGGTCACATCATATTCAGCCGTGAAATAATTAATACTTATCTTCTAAGATTGGGAACAATGTGAAGTAGTCTCACTATTCCTATCCAACATCATATTAAGTGTTCTAGCCAGTGGTACAGGGTAAAAAAAAAAAAAAAAAAGAAAAGGCAAACAGGATGCAAAGGAAGAAATATAACTGTTTCTTTATGTAGATAAAATGATTGTGTAGAAAATATCAGAGACTTCACGAAAACAAACAAAACCACCTGAAACTAATTTGTAAGCTTAACAAAGTCCCTGGATATAAAGTTAACCCAGGAAAGTCAACTGTATTACTAACAAAATTATAGCAATGAAGTACAGCTTAGTGGTAGCCAGTGGCTAAGGAGAAGAGTAGGGAGGGAAGTAACTAGCTAATAAAAGGCAGCATAAATGATCCTCGAGATAGAATTATTCTGCTTCTGTATTATAATGGTGTTCATACAAAGCTACCCACTGAAAACATTGCATGGAACTAAATACACACAGAAATGAGTACATGGAAAATTGGTAAAAGCTGAATAAGGTTGGTGGATTATAGCAATGTCAAATTCCTGGTTGTGATATTATACTAAAGATGTTACCAATGAGAGAAACTGGTATACAGTCTCTCTGTATTATTTCTTAAAATCGCATGCGAATCTACAATTATCTCAAACTAACAAGTAAATTAGAACTTTCATACATTACTAGTGAGAATGCAAAATTGTACCTCCACTCTGGAAAAGAAGTGTATTATAGTGTTAAATGTACCACCTGACACTGCAGTCCCAGTCTCAGAGAAATCAAAACTTATATTCACACAAAAATTGTATACAGATATATGAAGCTCTATTTATAAATATAAAAACTGGGAACAAGTTAAATATCCTTTAATGGGTAAACACATAAATAAACTGGCATATCCAGAAAACAGAATGATAGTTAGCAATAAAAAGGGACAAACTACGGATGCATGTACCAACTTGGGTGAATCTCAAAGATGTGATGTGGAATGAAAGAAATCAGTCTCAAAAAGTTACATGCCATATGATTTATATGACGGGATCTAAAAAACAAAAGTGTAGTCATGCAGAAGAGTGGTTGCCAGACATTAAAATGTGGGAAGGGTGTAAATACAAAGAGAGAATTCAAGGGAGTCTTCTAAGGTGATGCTACTGTTTTCTCCTGATTGTGATCCATCTGTCTGTCTATCTATAAAAATCTACATAGCTGTGCACCAAAAATAAAATCAATCTATGTTAATTTTAAAAATAAAAGAAAAATTATAAAAGCAAATTCGACATTTGTACCTCATATTTGTACCGTATGACTTATTCATTCTGAGGCTATTTAGGATTTAGTTGTTTGTAGCAGTATAGGCTTCATCTTACAGTGACTATGGAGTTCACAGGGCATAAAACAAAATCTCCTAACTCAAACTTTAACTAAGAAAAAATTTGTTTTAATGTAAAAAATGTAAGCACCAAGTTAAAGAACAATTATTTTAGTGATCTTTACTCAAATTTTAGCTGCAGACAACATGCCTGCAGTTGAACAAGTGTCTGTTGATTTTTTTTTAACATAAAAAGCAGATTTAGGACCTGGTGTTGTGGCTCAGTGGTACAATGCTTGCCTCATATATATGAGGCACTGGGCTTGATTCTCAGCACCATATATAAATGAATGAATAAAATAAAGTTTCATTAACAACTAAAAAAATTTAAAGAAAGCAGATTTAGTTATGCTGAAACATTAGTGGTAGTTATAATAATAATTAAATAATAAATAACAAGTTAAATGACTAACAAGTAGACTAAAAATCACTTAGGAAGTTTAAAACAAAGATGAATTTTATAATTCTTCAGTTAAGTTATCATATTAAAAATATGGCATTAGGTCATATCAAGGATGTTATGCATTAGAATTAAATAAATTACTGTCTGTGTAGAAATAAGAAAGTATTAATTATTCATTAATCCCACAAAATTTATGTAAATAATCCAATGTAAAATATCATTTGAAAAAACATCTTTGAATGTTTCTTGAAAGTATAGTATTTAAAAAAATGTAATCCTAAATGTAGCCTAAATACAACATTCAAATCAAGGAAATGATAAAGGCTCTACATTCAAAAAAAATTAGTTATAATGAAGTATTTCTGTAAGCATCTAGTTTTCCAATCCTGTCTATGATTATTTTGAATTTACAGAGAGGGAATAGGATCTGAATCCTAGAGAGGGAATAGAAATAGGCATCTGACCTATGAGATGTCAGAACTTCGGCAGTTTCCAGGTGGCTTCTGTATTAAATTGAACAATCAATGCGGAAATGCCAGTGATGGCATAAACCTGCATGTTCTGGTTTCCTTCACAACTTATGGAACATTGGTCCTACTGTAGCTATAATATCTGCATAGGGAGCACTCTGGTTCAGCTCAATAGCCTGCTGTTTTTTTAGAACAAGAAAGCTATAAAACTTGGCAGCGGTTCGCTTTCGGTCACTATTTCTGCAGAGTTTCATCAGACTGAAGGACTGCATTCCCATCTTGTTGGATTCCTGGGAAAATGATTAGAAAGGAGGAAGGGAAAGGGAAACAAAATCATCAGATGTCAAGCAGGCTGTAGATTCAAAATGAACAACAAGATACTGAAATTTTAGATAAGTAACTATGATATCCTTAAATGGAAGAATACAAACAATTCTTTACTAAACTTATAAAAATCCCATAGGTTACTCAGCACCAGTTTGGTTCATCAAGAAAATACAAGCAAAACAAACAAACAAAAACCATAAAGGATGTTATGTAAATTTGTAATGTGTTATACAAAATGTTAGGTCTTTTAAAACATTGATGCTAACATAAATACCTCCTATGGAAAATGCAAATAGTTTATACTTTCAGGCAGAAAAATATCCACAGAACTTTGGGAGGCTTCAAATACAAAGAAAATGCTCAGCCTATTAGGGTTCTTCTTCTCCTAAAAGTACTAAGAGGCAGGGAAGACAATAAACAACTTAAGTGGTAAATACAGAAGTACATTTTATAAAATAAGTGAACATCTTTCAGATTTAAAAAATATTGGATTCATCATATGGCACCTGTGTACCTACTAGAAATAATTGAGGTATAATAAAGTATATAATTATGGATTAAAATAACTCATTTTTTAGAGTCTAGGCCTTGGAATCAGATTCCTAGAGAAGCATAGTTTTTTTTAGTTAGAAAGAGTATAGTAAATATTGTCTGATAACCCTGAGTATTGTATTCCTTGGATAATTGTAAAATACTTTTAGAAATATTATGGTTTTTCCAGTTCATAATCCTTAACAAATTAATAAATGAAATATCTTATTGTGCTTTATCTTAACCGAAAATGTGGCCCAGATCAGCAACCTTTCAGTCTTTCATTTATTTCCTCTCTTGAGAGACAAGATGTGGATTGGGTGCCCCCCACCACCATCTCCTCACCCGGAGGGAGCAGGAACCACATTTTCAGTTTCAAAAATTCTTTTGAAAAATCTTGAGGGGTCAAATATGCAATATTTAACAATCTGCTTATTTCTGTTCCTAAAGAAACCCTCTAAAATGAAGGAATAAAAAAGTGACAAGTAAAAGAAATAAAGACACAGAAATGGAAAACATAACTGACTTAGCAGAGTAGAGAAGGTTGCAACCCATGCGTCAACAAGGAGGAAAGCCAACCAAGGGAGGCCAGCAAAAGGCACAGACCTTGGGAAAACCCAGGAACTGGAGACATGAGAATGTTAAAAGCTGGAGGTGAGGGGAAGACTGAAACCAGAATTCCTTGAGAGTTAGACATTCTGACACTCCTCAACCTCACAGAACCAGATGACCACTCATACAGCAGAAGGTAAGAAGGTGTCTTTCTGGAGGTACCAACCACTGAGGCTCTGGTCTTGGTACCCTGGCACTGTGGATGGGCAAGGAGAGGTATCACACCACAAACATGGAGATTAAGTGACACTCCACATCTATACAGTAAAGCAACCAGCCTCTCCCTTTCCTTTGGTTCCTGAACCACTGGCATCATACTTATATTTCCTAGGCAGCAGATTTAAAGATTGCTTCAAGAAAACCCACCTTCTAAGGAAAAAAATCCTTTCAATAATAATGTCTGGCAGAGGAGCATCACCCAGTTAGCTATCAAGACCACATGCCTACAAACAAGCCTTACCATGCGTATAGAACTTTGAATCTGTTTTTGATACTCTTAAATAGGAACAGATAACTACCAGATATTTGAGTACAAGTTCTCACATTAAAAGCAAAAAAGAATGTATTTAAGAGAGCCAAGGACAGAGAATGCAGGGGACAAAAGAAAACAGAAATCTCTGAAGTGAAGAGAAGTGTTTCACATTTATTAAAAGTGGTTAGGCTGATAGTAGAGAAAGATCAGTGGTGGCTTGGAGATGTGGTATCAGTGCAAGTGATGGGGTGGGGGCTGTTAAGGGGCAAGAAAACTTTGGGAGTTTTAGATACATTAATGTCATCCTGAATGTGATGGTTTCATAGATGTACACATAAATTAAAACTTATCTAACTGTATACTGATGTTAACCATACCTCAATAAAGATTTTATCTTAAAAACCGGATAAATAATTAAATCAAAGATTAGGAATCTATAAAATCATAGTTAATAACCTAAAAAAAAAACTCCTGGAAAACAAAAAGTTGAAAGCAGAAATAAAAATTTTGTAAAGACTAGAATACAAAGTTGAGGAAATCTTCCAGAGAGTGAAAGCATTCAAAGCCAAGGGAAGTTAATATAGGAGATAAAATATGTTTTAAAGATTAAAGGATAGGGGCTGGGGTTGTAGCACAGTGGTAGAGCACTTGCCTAACATGTTTGAAGGCTCTGGGTTCAATTCTCAGCACCATATATAAATAAGTAAAATAAAGGTCCCTTAACAACTAAAAAATATTTTTTTAAAAATTAAAGTATCAGCTAGATGCAGTGGCACATGCCTGTAATCCCAGTGGCTTGGGAAGCTTAGGCAGGAGGATCACAAGTTCAAAGCCAGCCTTAGCAATTTAGTGAGGCACTTAACAACTCAGCGAGACCCAGTCTCTAAATACAATATTCAAAAGGGCTAGGGATGTGGCTTGGTAGTTAAGCATCCCTGGGTTCAATCTTTAGTACCAAAAACAAAACAAAACAAAAAAATTAAAGGATCAATTTAGGAGATCCACTATCAGATCCATAAGCCCTCCAAGAAGAGAAAACAAATAAACAAAAAGGAGAAAGTCCAAGGGGGGAAAAATCCTAGAGCTCAAGAACATGGAATTTTTGATTAAAAGAACCCTTTACATGGTCAACACAGTGAACTTAACATTAAAAAAAAAAAAAAAGCACATCACCCTTAAATTTCAGAACACTAAGGATAAAGAAAAGATCTAAAAACTTCCAGAGAGAAAATAAAGTTCACCTACAAAGGATCACCAACCAAGGCAGAGTCTGACTTTTCAATAACACAAGAATCCATGTTACAAAGCTTTCAGCATCTGAGAGAAATTATTTCCAACTTATATCCAGAAACAACAAATTAAGTTCAAGGTAAAACAAAGAAATTTTCAGTCTTGTGAGGTCAAATTTCCTACACACTGTTATCTTAGGAAATTATGAGAGGATGTTAATTACCAAAACATTTAGGATAAAAGATGATCAAGCACCAAGAAACAGAGGAACTAAAAGGGAACAAAGAAATTCCTGTGTTTAAGATAAAGGAATGTCCCAGGATAAAAGCTATGGAGCAAACCTTAAGAGCAACTAGCTTGAATCAGAACAAGAGGATGAACTGACACATCCATTAATAATTTGAGATATACATATACTAAAAGGAGTTTTATTATATTGTCACAGAGTTTGGAAAGGTAATTAAGTATGGGTATATAAACAGTAAATAAATGGAAAACATGAGGTAATAACCCAAACAACAATAATCACAACAACAAACCATAACATTTACAAGAAATACAATTACACTTGAAGCTTCATTGTGAACTAATTTTTGTACAGTCTTTGTAGTAGCAACTGTTAAATTGTCCTTTAATATCCATTTTCTTCTTCTTCCATAATAATTGAATTATTAGCTGGGCTTATAGTTACTGAATCAGGTCTACATATAAAAACGAAAACAGTTGCCAAACTTGACCATCTCACCCGCAAACTATTTAACATCTGAAGTAATCTTCTATTCCATCTCTCTGCTTCAGTGTTTTGTTCATTCTCCAATGACTCCTGTATGAATGATTGAGAAATATTTCACTTAAGCAAATTTTACTCAATGTTAACTATTGGTCAAGCATAGCGTTCACTGCTATGGGAAACATAACACCAAGTTCTGCCAAATAAAGAGCTTATGATAATGGAGAGAATAAGACTAACACAAATATAGATGAGCCTTTCAGGATTATAACTTTGTTCTCCAGATTGTCTTCTGATAAGGAAATCTAAAGTAGGAGATTCTACATTCTAACTGGATAATGCTCCCAGAGCATTATGCCCTTAGGTGCTTTGAAAAGTAAAGTTAGCCAAGACATTGCTTTCTGCTGGGACTATCCTATTTCTAGTCAAACTGAACTCAGTTGACAAGAATAAACTTAAAGCTCTAGAAAAACTGCCTTGTAAAGACCTTTATTTGAATTTCCCTGGTGATTCTGGAGCTCTAAAAATAATTGTTGTTTAGTAGTTTATGACAATTGGGTTAGAAACCTTGTCTATTTTGAGCGTGTCTTGTCCAAAAAGGTCAAGCAACTACCTGTTATATTATCTGAATAGGTTCATTTTTTTCAGTCTTTAAAACTTAACCACTTTCTGAAATACCTCAATATTTAAAATTGTAAAATTTTACCCTTCCAATAAACATCTTATGAGCTTCTGAGAATGGAAATTATCATAGGAAATATGTTGATGAATCTGATGAAAGAGCAGGCCTACCAAGGGTTGGGGGAAGAAAAGTGGCACAGATCTGACCTACTTTGTCATTTTTCCTGCACTAGCACTGATCATGCCACACACTACCTGTTCACTGTTATCACACTGTTTGCTATTTGTCTAGCTTCCTATAAATCTGCAGATCAAACAAATTTTCAAAGTACTTTCAGTTTCATGGATTCCAAGATGATTTCAGAAAGTTCCAGAATATTCTGGAAATTCCCATATTTATGATAAAGAAATAAAAGCTGTGCAGCCGACCTAGAGAGCAATTGGTTTGAATTAGAACAAGTGGACAATGATCTGAGAGAGGTTATCTTCAAGAGAAAAAAAAAGAATCTGTTGGATCAATTAATATAAATATATATATATTATATATATAATATATATACTAAAATGGGTTTATTATATTGTCAGAGGGTTTGGAAAAATAATTAAAGATGGGGTTCAGATGTGAAAAAAATGGAAAAAATTAGGTTATGATTAACTCCAACAACAATAGAAACAAAACTATTATGAAGTTTACAAGAAAAGAAATAAGATTACATTTTTCAAAATTTTAAATCATTTAAGGCTGAAGAGACCCTTTGAGTCCGTCCAGAAACTGCTGAGTGCCCCCAGAAACTGCTGAGTCCCCATTCCCACCAGCTATGCAGCATGGTCCTGCCTGTCCTGTATCCTACCTTGTGTCCCAGTGAGACTGATTTTAAAAGTATAGTCATTTTTTTTTTCTGAGGAGTTGTTGAAATCTCTCTAGGTATGATTCATGTTTATTCCCTTCTGGTCTGTCCTTGGGTAAATTAGTTTACCTATACTCGTGTTTATTGTTAAATATATAAATGCTATTTCTGAAATGTAAAAAGTTTTGTTAAAATCCATGAAACTGTAGCTTCACCTATAAGGCCCAAATAACCAGAAAAAGGCTCAGCATTGTGTGTGTATTTTGCTAGCGCTTGTCCATTTGATCTATCTGACATCCTACAACTGAATCTATTGTGGGGAAATCCCAGTGGATTATTAAAACAGCTGAACTTGTGCTGTGGTGTGGTTTGCTTGACCATGTATGAAAATAAACTGTCAATGGGAGCAAAGAGGATGGCAAAAGTGAATCAGCTCAGGGCTGAGAACGTGGCTCAGTGCTAGAGCACTCGCCTCACACATGGGAAGCATTGGGTTGGATCCTCAGCACCACAAAAAATTAAAATAAAGGTATTGTATCAAACTACAACTTAAAAAAAAAAGAATCAGTTCACTTCTGGCTCAGCTGTTTGGATGTTTCAGGTAAATTTCAGGTTATTTCTTCTGTCCTAGATTATCTAGAGAATTCAGTCCATTTTTCATGTCTGAAAAAAAATCTAATAGTCTTAGAACTTATTATAAAGATAACTTATTTTAAAGCCAGTTAACACCAGGTACTAATAGGTGTTTTTATATTGTTTACTAAAGAATTTTTGCTGAAATTCCTTACAATTCAAAATGCTTTCTGTACTCGCTTGTCACGTATATCTAAAAAAAAAGAAAACAAGAAAAGAATTTATTTTTTACAAATGCCTTCTGTGTTCTGGGACAAGGATCAGAGATACAAGGCAGTGCATAGGGAGTTGGTGAGTTAGATTTTACTTCTCATTTTGCTATCAACATGTGGTCTGATGAGCAAACCATTTTCTGATTTCCAGAAGTCTTATACAGATACAAGTTTGAGCCATATGTTAAGAAAAAAAATTCCCTCACTATTTTGTAAATAAAATAAAATTTTAAATGCCCTAGTCTGTATCCCTAATACAGACAGCATGGTTTCTCTAGAGATGCTAATTAGAAAAGCTTACAACAGTGATTTCTTAATATTTTAAAATCTTTGGTAAAAATCTCATATAATTATTTGACATTTCAAAATAAATTAAGAAAACAAAAGAACTGATACATCTCTGCTTAAATGATGAATTTAATTATAAATTTAGAAAGTAACATGACAGCCCTAAAAAACAAATTTTAGATTAAATATTAAATATTTAGGAACAAAATTTTTAAGAATATCCCCCAAATTATCCATATATTTACCAATTCAACCTGACAATTTTCTTGGGTCAAGAAAGCATTCATCAAAGGTGATTCTTCAGCAGCTGAATAAACCATTTCGATAAGATCCTGCTAAAGTAAATTAGACAAAGATAGGTCATTCTGGTAGTGATTATCGCAGGTATAATCTAATATTGTTAAATGCTTTAATCAAATGAATATTTGTTTCTCAAATTAATTTAAAATGCTACCCACATTCTCAAAATATTATTTCTGAAATTTCCCATACAGGCAGGCCTTGATTTAAACCTTCCTTTTTCTCATGTGCTTCACACAGATGAAAACCCTGCACACCCCTTCCAGCCTTGCTCCCTATCCTTTTCCTTCCTATTTCCCTCTCCACTTCAGGCTTCATCAAACAGTCTCTACTGCTGAGATCACTTCCCTTTGAAGCATTTTATAAAGCCCCAGTCCTCTCCCTCTCAGACCAGTACCAGGTGGCAGAGGAAGAGACTTGCAATGGGCAAGCAGAGGAGGTGAGAGTGAGGGAAGGGATATTAATATCCCTACCCAGGGCATGACAGGACTTTTGACACCACTGCTGGAGCCATCACTGGCAAGAGGAAAGGAAAAACCGTGTCCTCTGAAAGGAGGATAAAAGACAAAGGAAGAAGGAAAAAGAGAAAGTCAGAAATTCTCCTATTCCCTGCCATCACCTCCCCTTTGCATGGCTATAAAGCTGTCAGCCCATTTCATTTATTTCCAAGCTTCATTCCCAGCTCTCATCCCTGACCTTAAGAGCTTCCTCCAATAGAGTTTGATGATTTTTACTTTAGCTTTAAAATTTTTTAGTGACTACAAGAAACTGTATTATTATTGTTTTTACGGTACTGGGGATTGAACCCAGCACCTCACTCTACTACTGAGCTATATCCCCAGGCCTTTTTTTATTTTGAGAAATTCTCATTAGATTGCCCTGGGCCCTCAAACTTGCAATTCTCTTGCCTCAGCTTCCCTAGTAGCTGAGATTTAGGCACCTACCATTATACTCAGCTACATTTTATTTTTTATTGTACACATTTATGGAGCCTTTTGTGTTTTTCTGCTTTTACTTTCTTTTATTCCCACAGTTTAGATACTCTTAATTTTGTAGTTATTGTATATAAACTTGTTTTATGATGATTTGAAAATGATTCATTAGAATCAATATTTTCCTGTCCCTTCAAACTAACAGTGCTCCCATACTTCACTATATTTCATATTTGTTCACTATTTTGGAAGCCACCTAATAATGGAATTGAAGGCTAAAGCATAGCAGAGGATATAAGAGTAAGAGTTCCAAAGAACCAGTACATCAATCTCCTTCCTTCCATTCCAAGAAGATTGGGAAAAAAAATCTGTATTGTTAATATATCTGTGATAACTTAACTTCCATATTCCTTTCAAAAATCATAAACTAAATAAGTTTACCTAGTTACAATTTTCAGTAGGTACATTATAAGAAATGCCAGAGCCCCAACACAGAAGATGGTACTGGCAACCCAGTACGTATCTATTATCAAGTATTTAGTAATACATGTTCTGTTTAATGCACTGTGAAGCCGTATTTCCTTCCAAGGGCATTCAGTTTCAATGTGGGTTAACTTTGAATTCCCTGAGTGGTTATCAAATACAGTGAAGATAGAAGAGACCAGAAAAGCACTGGTTTATTTTTATCTGGTATAACTATAATATTACATTTGTGCCATTAATAAAGTGGCAATTGAGAACATATTTTAAAGCACATTGTTTCCAACTATGTTTTCAAATAGCAGTTTTTCAAATAAAAATTATGTCTTTAAATAAAAATTTTAAAATTTATTTTGGTCATGAACTTCAGATAATCTTTCAGATTCAAGGTCAAGGTCACTGGTAGGTCTAAAATGTTTTAGAGGTAGGAAGGGTGAACTTATAATGAGAAATAAAACATGTTTACTGGCTAGAGTCCTAAAAGATTACATGACATATTGAATGTGGGGCCTAGTAAGATTCTCAGCACATAGCCAAATTCAAGGATTGACTATCATTCACTTAATATATCATGTAAAATACTATTTCAGTGTGAAATAATTCTACTCTGCGAATCACTGTTCTAAACTTGTAAAGAATATTGCCTTACAAATAAAAATAATGCTTTATCTTATAGTACTTTCACTTACTAAAGAAACTATAGAACATTTTTTTTTAGAATTTTAATATTTATTTTTTAGTTTTTGGTGGACACAACATTTTTGTTTGTATGTGGTGCTGAGGATTGAACCCGGGCCGCATGCATGCCAGGTGAGCGCGCTACCACTTGAGCCACATCCCCAGCCCACTATAGAACATTTTAAGATGAAATATGAACTGTCAATATAAGAAGATCTATCAGAGGCAACGGTCCTTCACTATAAGTTGTCAGAAAAAGAACATTCTTTGATTCTCTCTGGTTAACTTACCTCAGAGTTAATATGTTTATTGATATTCTCATGAGAGTTACCCTTAAATTCATCAATCACATCCTTCCAAGTTTGGGGTTGAATTAACTCTTTCTGGTAATGTGGTTCTTCTACCCTGGAGACGTCTGAATTATCAAGGAAAGTAAAGTAGAGTTCTTTCAAGCTTTCAAACCAAAGTACCTTTCAAACTTGAATTGAGATATGGCTGTTACAAAAGAAAACTTTGGAGACCACTTGGAATCCACGAATTTAATCAAAGGGTATACAAACTTTCTTATAGTTCCCCTGTGTCTACCATGTTGATCTTCCCTTCCCTTCCTCTGTCTCTTATCACCTCACTCCCATCCTCTGTCAGCTGTCCCCTCCACACTCACACTTTCACACGTTCACTCACAAGACAACGTGAATAGCTCGAGTTCATTATGTTGTTCAGTACATTTTAATGCTTTCAGTAGATTGGGAAATGGAGGCTCACTGACAACAGAAGTTGGTTTTATTATTACTTTATAATTGTCACAATAATAATCAGCTATTATTAATACTCTGTGTTACCTTTGGGTGGATGGTAATATCTGCCTCAGTTTAATTATATAGCTCTTGTTCCTATATAGTTTTTCATGTTAGTTGTTTTAAACATTATCCTGATAAATATAAATATTTTCTTTTTTGAGGGTTTGTGAGTACTGCTTTTGGGGATGGGAAAGTAAAAAAGAGTAAGAATAAGAATAATATTTCATCTTTTTAATGAAGTATCTGGAACAAAAATTGATCTGAAAAGCAGAAAAATGCAATACTGAAGTAACTTTTAAATTAACATATTTTTCTAGAGATAGCCTTTCTACTAAAAAAATATGGAATTGGGTTCCATTTTCATTTTAAAAATGTAAATTGAAACTTTTGTTTCCACTTCCCCTCAACATCAACAGAATTAGGAAATCTCACCTATTATGTATTGGTTTCCCACTTCTTCCCTTACTGACTCCTTCTGTATCAATTTTCTTCCAAGTTTAAAGCCAGAGGACAGAAAGCACTTTGTAAACAACTGTAAAAACATACATTTTTATTTCCTGCTTTTTTCCCCAGTAAAGCAATCCAATAAAGCATAAGCATAGATGCTAAAAAGCAGAAATTATAATTCATAGATATAGATAGATAGATAGATCTCCAACAAATTAATTTTAAAATGAGGAGCTATTTTTTACAAGTTCAAATTCTGTTGCACATATGTATTCGAATAAGTATTTATTTAATTTTAAACAAACATTGCACTCATGTGATAGAAGGGAAACAATTACCATTTTCAGTTCAGCATGAGTCAGATCCTGGGCAGCAGTTGACAGCAGGGTGTCCACTCCTCCCCTCTTCTTCCACATCATTAATCTCTGGGTAGGAGGTGCAAGTTCCAAAACCATGAGTGTATCCGAAAAGAAAGTAAGTTGCTTATGCATAGTTTTGCTACTGATCTCCTTGACTGGATCAATGAGCAGTTTTCTCTTTTTGCTCTTCCTTTTCTCAGTAATGTCTAAATATAAGAAAGAGGCATAAATGTGATTGGTTGTGTAGCTTGATGAAATAATACTCTAGGCACTGCATATCTAAGAAATGTCTACAACCTGCAGAGTTGCACTGGGAAGAAAATCCATTATTTTCTGAACATGATGCTTTGTAAAGTCTTTGCACAGCTAGAATTCCTGAGCAGCCAAAAGCTGATATATTTTTAAAGGTGCTGCTTGAAAGTACTCATGAGGGACACTGTTGACTTGCTAAGTAGGCATCTGAGGAAGCTTGGAGCAGAGGCTCCATTGAGAGGGAAGTTAACCAATCTGAAGGTTCTTTAAAATGCCTATGTACCAGGATAACCTTCTGAAACATTCATTTGTATTTGTCCATTGTATTTTGCTCTCCCCTAATTAAATTCATGTATAAATTCAAGGTAGGAAGCCAGGTCTGTGGAATTTCACTCCTTTAGGGAATTTTACCAGGCAGAAAGCAGAAGTCAAGCTTTTCTTTAGTAAAGCTGCAAAAGAGGAGCTAGGATTAGATTTCCCAGTCTATGAAGATCCCAGATCAGATGGAGCCAGAAAAAACATAAACCTGCCTTGTTGGTGTGCTTTAGTAAAAATCCTGGGAGCACAAGATACTATACAGTTGTCTATGGAGCTGGGACAGTGGTCACTACTAACTGATGTAGCTGATGACTACAGGTTCACCTCTCACACCCTTCCCCTAAACTTTGGTACTACAACACTCCAAGAACATAGGGGAGTTGTGCAGATTGAATTTCCCACCAGCCATGTGGGATAGTAGCTCAGAGTTAAATTCAGTAAAGAAAAAATTGGAATGCTTTATTCTTTGCATGCCTGAGTTTATAAACTGAAATCTACATTAATTATACTATTTAAAACTAGAATATTCTAGTTTTAAATAGTATAATTTAAAATTATATATTAATATTAGTATAATCCTAAAGGACCTATTTACATATGAGATTCATACTTACTGTTTATTTCTAAAAACATGTTAAATGTCAGAGGCTAAATATTAGAGGGCACAATGCCTTTCTTCTGCCCTATATTCACTTGCATGTTTATTTATCTTGATTGTACTGAAAACTTCTTAAAGGCAGGAACCATGTCTTCTTCATTCCTACCCCCAGCACAGAATAATGGCTTAATAACTTCCTGAACTAAACTCAGTTTTTAATTTTCCAGTTTCCCAGACTGGATGTATTTTTCAAACAGGAATGAGTATAATGAAAGAATCATCTCAAATTTCCTTCATGCTCTTCTCCTATTATATTACAAATGCTTTTACTAGATTGACTACCTCTTAGAATATTTTGTGGATTATTACAAATATCTCAAGGTAAACATGATAGCAGTGTGTTGGAGATAAATAGTGCCTCTGACCTGAAATATCGATTGGATCAAGAGTAAATCCTTCCTCTTCATTTGACAATAATGTTGTTTCATTCATTTTTTCATTTTCAGGTAGACACATGTAATCTGGATTATCTGGTTCTACTAATCAATGACACCATAAAAGTAATTATAAAAACATACAGTCATGTTGTAAGCTAGAAGACTATGAGAGTTAAAGTAAAAGCAGAGTAGAGATCTATATTGCTAATGGGAGCCTTATCTAATTCTTAGACTCATATATTTAATAGAGATGAAGAGACTCAGAGATTATATGGACTGGGACCCACAGTATTTAGGTGAGTCGAGTATCATCATTCTCTGTGCACACTAGTCATTTAAAGGTAGGCTACACTCAGTGGCAGTAACAACAGTGGTAGCAATATATGATTGACATAAATTTGATATGTCCATTAAAATATTTATATTCTGTTGGATCACTTATCAATTGACTCATAAAGAACCAAAACTAAAATTTTACTCCTCTTTTTACATTTTCAATTTTGATTATTGTTTTGGAAAGTAAATACAACATCAAAAATCGTGAAGAGGGGCTGGGGTTGTGGCTCAAGTGGTAGCGTGATTGGCTGGCATGCATGTGGCCAGGGTTCGATCCTCAGCACCACATACAAAGATGTTGTGTCCGCCGAAAACTAAAAAATAAATGTTAAAAAAATTCTCTCTCTCACTCTGTCTCTCACTCTCTCTTTAAAAAAAATTGTGAAGAATCAAAATCAGGCTAGTTGTACCTCTAATTTCTTTAAATATTTATTTTTTAGTTATAGGTGGACACATATCTTTATTTTATTTTTATGTGTTGCTGAGGATTGAACCCAGTGCCTCATGCGTGCTAGGCAAGTGCTCTACCTCTGAGCCATAATCCCAGTACCTCTGATTTTTAAGAAAAATCAGCTTAAAAGACCTAAATCATCTGAGATATTTTGTAAGAATTTCAAATAGGGAAAATAGCTCCATTTATAATTTCTCTCAAATTGTATACAGATTGTCAAGTCATACTATTTAAAAATCTTTTTCTTTCCATGTAACATATATTCAGTGATTCTAAAGCATAGTTTTGGCAGGGGATTTAAACATGTTCTCATACTCAACTCATTCTTAACTAAATACCCTTCATTCCACCTGTCTTAGAACCCAACCTCCTATTCTATATTATCTAGAATCCTTCTAAGAGTTTGAGGGACAACAGTCTTTATCATTCACTGCACTATATACCGCTGCTTGAACTCAGAAGTTCTAAGGCTTCATATCAATATTAGTCTGCATTGACTTTCTACAGAGAGGAAAACTTCAACATACCCACTGTAGCATGGGGAGGCTCAGGAGGAAGGGAGATTTCTCTGTTCAAAGGCATGTCTTCTAACAGGATATTCTCATCATCCTGCAATAGATTGTCTTGAAAAATACAACACACACTTTAGTCATACAGACTTGAATCTGTCATTTGTTCACTAAATACTTATTATCATTACTTTATACAAAGGCATTGTGAAGGAATAATCAGATAATAAAATAAAATAATAAAATAATAAAAAATAAAATAATAAAACTTGATACAGAGTTTTAATGTGAACTGGAAGACATTTAAACTATATCTGAACAGCTAACAAACAATTTTTAAACTTACTAAGCTCAAAGTTCTTGATTCTGCAAGTATTTCAATGATATTGACACACAGGCATAGTAAAATAGGTTGGAAATAATAATCTAGAGCTTTTTATTATTATATTAATATTATGCTTAATATTATTTTTCCTATTATTATATAATTATATTGTTATATAAATACATATTATATATTAGAAGTTTTTTTAGGTGTTCCCCATCTAGGATTATGGGTTAAATATATACATTTAGTTTTCTCAGTTTTTGTCTACCCTATTTCAATGATTATAATAATATCGTAATATAAATATAAGATGGTAATATAAAATGCCAGAAAGATTCTTTAGAATAGCTGTCCCACAATTTGTGTTAAAGAAAGCTATGTTTTCCAGCATATAATCTAGTATGTATTTTGAGGGATATACTGAACTCACTCCTTCCCTTCCCAAAATTAGGACTTTATAAAAACTGGGTAGTAGTTCCAAACTTTTATAGAAAATGTGTTTAAACAGATGGCTATTTACTTAAGACTAGCTTAAATATACCGTAGATTTTGAAAGCTTGTCTGAAAAATGAGTTTACCTACTTGATACAGAAGCACAGCTGAAATTTTAGTTTGATGTAATAAATCTACTAATAGTAATAAATATTTAAGTTCTATATGACTGGACATCATACCAATCATTTCTCCTGCAGCTCCTTCATCTCCAAATCCATCTCCACTGTCATAGAAGAAAGACTTTTCTCCAATAAGGCTTCCAGAACTATGTTCAACTAAAGGACCACTGGAGTTCAGTAATATGTTGTCATCAAAGAAGCTATGTCTTCTAAGAATTTCAGATTCTTCCCCTAAATAATATATGTCATTAATGTTAAGTTAGTCATAGAAATACATAACTTTAGGGTTAGAAGGAAAATGAGATATTATCTAGCATAATCCACCCTCATTTTATGAGGAAATGAAAAGCTGAAATAATTATTTGAATTGTTCAACTAAAGTCACTCAATTAATCAGTAGAGATTAGAATTCTAGTTTAATAATCTTCCCAATAGAAAGAATGCAAAAACATTAGGTAGAGTTTAAAGTTGTGATATAGTTTAATAATGTCCTAGAAGGCAGAAATACTATGATAGTAAAATGATTTCCTCTACTGTAGGTAGGTCCAATACTGCTTGACCAAGCATTACATCATTTCAAGGACAATTGCTTCAGTGGTTTTACTCCTAAGGAAAATCGGGAAAATAAGAAGCATATCCACCTTTTTAGGAAAATGGAAAGATACTAAAAATATTAAAGAATGTTCTCATAATGTCCATTGAATATGTTAATAGTTAAAGCAGTAAAAATGATAACACTGAAATGGCTAGCATTACCTGAGTGCTCATTACATGAACTAGAGAAGCAAAGTTAAGCATAGAATAAGAATTAATGAACAGACACTATCTTCTAAGCATTGTGCATCATAAGAATCTGAGATTACAGAAAAGAAATAATTGCTACCTTCAATTTTATATAGTAGCCCAATTTTATGTAGTAACCCAAAATTTGATGGGTTAATATTAAATATTTCTCAAAGGAAGAAGAGAAAATCCTATATTGGTGGAGAAGGCTGAAGAAAGAAGAAAAGAAAAGAAATAATCTATGATGCTGCTGGTAGTATCTCAACTTTCATCACAGGGCAGTAAGGTTCAGAGAAGTCCAGTACAACAGAGCAAATCAACAGAGAAAATCCAGATTCAAATCTAACTCTGTTGATCTTCTAAGAACATGTTCTTCCCACTTCTTAAAAAATTATACAACATACAGAACTGTGAACAACTAAATTGTATTGATTGGATGGTAAGACACTTGAATAAAGTGTCTATATTAAGAGTAAAACAAACAAGGTTGATAAAATAAAGGTGATAAATTGATATTTATAAGTCCTCAAGGATAGGCAGAGGGATTTGATACTGTGTCATAAGGACAAGGTACTTAAGCAAAAAATGTGATATGAAAAAAAAATAAAATTCAAAGACAATTGCTCTTGTGGAGATACGTAAAATGTGGGAAGAGAATGGCTGATTTGCAGGTGGGTGGTGCTGTACTCCAGGCCTTTGGTACTGGTGAATTACGTTGGTGGCTAAGTAAACAGAAAGACCTAAGAGACATTTTAGGTGTGTGTCTGTGTGTGGGTTTTAAATCAGCACTAATATGAAGATGGTAGAAAGTGTAGTTGAAAGTAATTTTAAAAGTTTCAGGCATGAAGAAAAATAGCAGAATTTGCAGAGAAAACTATAAAGAGTGTTTTGGGTAGTTAAGAGAATATAATTATGTCATTGCCAATATGTCACATTTCTAGGTCTGGGAATACAGCCAGCAAGAGACCTATTCTACTCAAAATATGATCTGCAGACTGGTGCTGGTCCATAATAAATAATAGCAATTAGAAGTAAACCTTTAGGAAGTTTTATAGCAATTAGTAGTTTTATGTAACTAAACTCTAATAACAAAAACTTGAGGCTTATTTCTTGAAATTTTTAATTTTTCTAATGATCCATTTTCAAGTCTAGTAATTTATTTATACAAAATTAAAATACAACATAGACATATTTGAAATTGACAAAAATTATAAAACTAGTCCTTCAACAGATTGCTTGAGAAACAACTATAGATAGCAAGAGTTACATAAAAAGAGTGTGCATGAGAAGCCAAGACTGGAGAGGTGGTTTGAGCATATAGCCTTGACCTCCCTCCCTGACCCAAGACAGGTTTAGGCCATCCTCCTGCTATGTTCACTGTTTTGGGTACTATAAGAAATTAAAAAATGATCATGACTTAGATCCTACCCTTATGAAGCTTGCTGACTAAAAAGGAATGTGTATAAATATCATGTTACAAGACAGAGTGTGGTAGATGCCAGAAAAAAGAACAAATACTATACAGTTGAAAAACTTATCACTTCAATTGTCAAGTACATTCACCCAAACATATTTTAACATTTCAAAAATCAGTTTCTATTTTATAATCAATCCCTTATTCAGTAGTAGTATTTCCTATTCTTCACACCCAAGCTGATTTGAAATCCGTTATTTTTCAACTAATATTCATTATACACTGGAGGAAATATATTTGAATACATTTAATGCAGCATACATATAAAAATTTATATATGTGTTAATTATAGCAATTGTTTATTTGCATGTCTCTCTCCCAGCCTGAAGTTACTTGAGGGCAAAAACAGCTCCTTTAAACTCTGGTATTGTGTAAGTCTGTGACAGCAGCTGCCACAGTAGGTAGTCAACAAAGAGAAGTACACTGGGAAAGAAATACATTCTAAGACTGAGTCTTGGAGATGATATTGTACCAGAAAATGGCAGGGAAAATTTATTAGGGATTATATTTATAAATGAAAGTATTCATTCTATAGATATTTCTACTGGCATTGTGTCAACAGAGAAATGTAAATATAATTGATTATGACTTGTAATTTTGATTTCTGATATATTCTCACCAAAGCTCCCTGCTTGGAAAAGTAGATCATTGCCATAATCTTCTCTAAGTGTAATTTCTTCAGGTCTACTTTGGTTTTGAGTAAAGTGTTCTGTAACATCAATTGCACTATAGAGGAATATAAGATTGAGGAAAACATAAGAATAGAACACAATGAATTTGAAGCATCCTTAAAAAGAAAAAAACCTTAAACAAAAGAAAAAAACAGGTTTATTATAAAATAAAAATTTTTATTTTCTCAATATTATTATTTATAAACAGGAGTTTTATATATATACATATACACAACATACGTACACATAAATACATACATAATATACACATACACATATAATCATGAGTTTTTTATATATACATATATCCAAGTTGCCAAATCTAATGGTTGTTCTCAGTCTTTATCCTACTTGTGCTAACAAACAGCATTCAAAATAGATGCCCACTCCTGCCATAACCTGAACGTTGTGTTCCCCCAAATTCATAGGTTGAAATCTAATCACCAATGTGACGGCGTTAGGAGGTGAGGTCTTTGGGAAGTTACTAGGTCATGAAGACTCTGCCTTCAGAAGTGGGATTAGTGCCTTTATTAGGCCCCAGAGAGCTGCCTTGCAAGATCTGTCATATGAGGACACAGTGAGAAGACTGCTATCTGTGAACCAGGAAGCAGACCCTCACTAGACGCTGAATCTGCTGGCACCTTGACTTTGGACTTCCCAGTCTTTGGGGCTGCTGTAACAAATACATGAGATGAGGTAATTTATAAACAGAAATTTACTGTGCAGTTCTGGAAGTTGAGAAGTCCAAAATCAAGATGCCTACAGATTGGATGTCTGGTGAAGTCCTGTTCCTCATAGATGGTGCTTTCTTGCTTTGTCCTCAGGTGGTAGAAGGTGCAAGGAAGCCTTCCCTGGTCTCTTTTATAAGGGCACTAATGCCATCCACAAGCACTCTCCATCCTCATCACCTAATCATCCCTCACTCAAAGGCCCCACCTCTTTGTACAATAACCTTAGGGGGTAGATTTCAACATCTGAATTAAGGAGAACACATACATTCTGACCACTGGAAATGTGTAATAGTCACTTCAAATTTTATGTGCAAGATTTAACTTACTTCCTTCTCTCTCCCCTTCTTTAACCTGACATTCCTTAGTTATCCTAATTCTGTTTTCATGCCTAAAATCATATAATCATCCTTCACCTCTTTTTTTTAGAGCCATATCCAATTCATCAGCAAATCCTGTTGGCTGTGCCTTCCACGCATATCTATAAATTGCTATGACCTCTATAAGATGAAGAGTGAGAACTGATCACAGATACTATCTTCTTTCTCCAGGACTTCCTGCTTCGATAATCTCAAGGGCTCTCTGCTTCTTCTCTTTACCCTTATAATAAGTAGCCAGAGAGAAGGCATTGCAATCAAGTCAGATCTGGTCGCTCCTCTATTCAAAATCTTACTGTGGAGCACTGGGTTGTAGTTAAGTGGTAAAGCACTTGCCTAGCATGCCCAAGATCCTGAGTTCTATTCCCAGCACCACAAAAAACAAAAAACAAACACACCTGGGCTTCATCTCTGAGTGAAATAAAAGACTTAACTGCAAACTACAATGCCCTATATCATCTGCACCTCTTGCATCTCTGACCACATTTTTCTACCATTCAGCTCCTCATTCACTCTATTCTAAAATCGCTTGCCTCCTTTCTGTTCCTTGAAAATGTCCAATGTGTTCTTGGGGCCTTTCCACTTGTGGAACATTTTTCCACATTATTGAATGAGTTTTCCTTTACTTCCTTCAGGTTTCTGTTCTTACCTTATCAGAAATTCCTTTCCTGGCCATCCTATTATTTGTTTTATTTTCTATTCTCTTCATACTTATCATCTGACCATTTCCTGGAGTACTATGTATTTACTTGTGTATTTATTGTCAGTTTACTTCAACTAAAACGTAAGATCCAGGAAGCCAAAAGCTGTATTTGATTCATTGCTATCTCTTCAATGATAAGAACAGAGCCTGGTAGGAAAGGCACTCAATGAATATTTACTGAATGACTAGATAAATATACTGTCAATATTGCATACAACATTCAATAAACATATAAGAATACATTTTATTGTTGCACTTTAGAATGTCATACTATATTTAAGCCTTTGTCAACTGTGTACTTGTTTAGTTGTTAACTACACTCCATTTGCCTTCACAAAATTTGAATATGAAAACAATAAAATATTTAAAAATATCAAGTTGAGGGAAAGTAAATAAAATAATTTACTTCATATTATGGGTGTCAAAATCATGAAATTCTTCTGGTAATGTGATAGCGTTGTAAGCTGCTTCAAAATTCTCTTTTGGGAGATCAACCAGTCCTGAAAATTAAAGAATCACATTCAATAAGCAATAATGTGGTATAAAGTAAGACATTCCCAATTAAATGTTCATTTTCTGAACAACTGCTTCATCTATTTAATGGTTTCCCATATCCACTCCTGTCCATCTTTAATCCTTTTTCTCTAACAAAGCATCCAGATCAAAAGCAAAAGCAAAAGCAAAAGCAAACAGATCAGATGACTCTCATGCTTAAAACAGTTTAGCAATTTTCCCAGTACATTTAAATAAAATTCAGATTTCTAACTGGGGCCTCTCCAGTGCTACAAATCTATCAGGCATCATCTAAAGACACTCTCTTCTTCACTTGTTATACTTACCACAAATATACTAGCTTTTTTGTTCCCTGAAAAAGTCAAGCATTTTTTTCACCTCAAGACCTCTGCTCTTGCACTTTCGTTTGCCTAGTATGCCATTCCCTCGGGGACTTTTTACATGACTGGGTACTTCTCATTTTTCAAGTCTGAGCTTAAATTCTGTTCTTTCAGAAAAGTTTTTCCTGGCCAACTAAAGTGAACTTCTGTTATTTTCTGTTGCAGTGTTCTGTTTATTTTCCTTTATAGCACAATGACAATCTGTAAGTATTGTAATAAGTTTTTTAAACCTTTTCATCCTCTGATTTCTTCCCCAGACTAAAAAGAACCTTATTTATCTTGTTTGTCAGTGTGTCAAACATCATGTTTGGTGCAAGGTATGAAATCAATAAATATTTATGGAATATATAAATGAAATTATATTTGGGCAAGTGAACCACAGTGTGAGTATAAATCTATCTTGAGATTCTACAAATATTTTAACTGAAAAAGAAAAAAAACCTGTAAATTCTAAATCTACAAAAGATGATACTATAAGAGATTCAGAAAATGGAATGTCAAAGATGCTTCTGCCAGGGAACTTAAACACTAACGATAAAGGAAAGACCTAATGTATCTAAATAACCATCACAGAGGATAGAAAATGATGGGTGTAGTAAAAGTAGAACAGATGCTACATAAACTAAAATTTGAAGTCTTTATATATGTCTCCAACACTTTAAAATGCCAGGAAATTTTGACAATATTTCACAAACAGCATGAAACTTAAAAGTCTTGCAAATTTTAAAAACAATGACAATTATTGATATCTACACTTTGTCAGTCATGCTAGTTCTAATTTCTCTCATAGAAGCAAAAAAAGACGTAACAGACTAAATGACACATTACAAATGGAATATCAGAGTTCTTACACAGTCTGCTTGTTTTAACTGTATTTCTTACACAAATCACAGGAACATTACAAGTTTTAGGAATCATAACTTTTTTCCTGAAAACACAGGAAAAGAACAAGGGAAAGAATATAATTTTTCCTTAACTATGGAAACTTAGATTCAGCAAAATGAAGTTTACACTCACTATTCTTGCCTGAAATTACAGGGTTCTGCCAATTAAAAGAGCCCACACAACATAAAAATGTAAAAGGGAACCAAGAGTGAGACAAATTAATGTTGCATGTATACCTGGGCGAAATGTCATCTTCATTTTAAGAAATGCTTCACTGCAATCTGCCAAAAGATATTTTGCCTTCCTATTATAGATTCGAACAACTCCCAAAAGAAGGTGTCCTGAAGTTCGAAGTGCAATTTTCACCTTTCAATAATTTTTGAAGTATTAGAATAATAAAAATTAGGTTCATGAATCCTGTTCTTTGAAAATTACTAAATCATAAGAATTTCTTCTCTTTAAAAAAACATTCCATATTCTAAAAGTAAACCACTTAACTTCTACTTCACCTTGCAAAATTATTAACTTCTGTTTTGCTTACTCAGTAAAGGTAACCTACTGTGGCATTTAAGTGAAGTATATTATTATTAATATTATGGGAAGAATGTAAACTCTGCTGTCAGGCAGACTTGGGTTCAACCTATGGCTCAATTGCTAAGGCTGAGTAACTTAATCCTCTGAACTTCAGTTTAATAACTTATTCTACATTTATTTTGTGCCAGGCATTGTCCTAAGAGCTTTTCATACATTGATTTACTTAATTTTGACAACATCTATTTACAGGAGAAAAAATCCAGACTCAGATATGTTGAGTGGCATGCGTAAGTAATATAACTATTAAGTAATAAAGCAAGGATAAAATATAAATCTGATCAACACAAAAGTTCATGCCAACTACCACACTTCATTGAGGCCAAAAGAAGTTGATTTCAGAGGGCTGTTGTGGAAATTTTAAAAATTAATAGTCTAACCCAGTGCCCAGCCCATAGTAGCTTTTTAATTATAATTCATCCTTTTCTCAAGCAGAAAGACACTTAATATAAAAATATCAAATTTTTATGCAAATTCTAATATTTGTTTTGAGCTATATTTTCATATAAATTCTAATAGTTGTTTTATAATGAATATAATACTCTTGTTTATGATATAATTTCACATATTTTTAAATTTATAATCAATTTTCCTTCTTTTTCCTAAGCTCCCAATTCATTCATTCATTATTTTCTAATAAGTACTTATCAGGTACCTACTATGTATAGCAGTATTTTGTTAGGGAATATGAAATATTACAAAATATGCATAGAATATGCCCTTTTTCTTCAGGGCCCAGTGTATTTATGATAAATATATGATACAATTACCAATGGAAACTGATATTTAATATATATTTTTTTAAGTTGTTGATAGACCTTTATTTATTTATTTATATGTGGTGCTGAGAATCCAACCCAGTGCCTCACACATGTCAGGCAAGTGCGTTACCGCTGAGCCCCAGCCCCAGCCCAAAACTGATATATGTTCAGGCAATAAATGCAATACAATTAAAGTAATCATATGAGAAGTAAAATTGCTTTGCAAATGTATTTTATGATATAAATGCCCTGTGCCTGAATCCATTTCAACAGCTTCCATGTTAAAGAATTAGACAAGGGGCTGGGGTTTTATCTCAGTGGTACAGTACTTGCCTAGCACTTATGAGGCACTGGGTTCAATCCTCAGCACCACATAAAAATAAATAAATAAAATAAAGATATTGTGTCTAAGACTAAAAATTAAAAAAAAGAACATTAGACAAGAAATTTTCTTTTTTCTTGCCAATATATTTTTTGTTTGTTTGTTTGTTTTCTTTTTTTAATTTATTTTTTAGTTATTCGTGGACACAAAATCTTTGTATGTGGTGCTGAGGATTGAACCGGGGCCTCACGCGCATGCCAGGTGAGCGCGCTACCGCTTGAGCCACATTCCCAGCCCCGACAACATATTTTAAGTCCTTTCCTCTTCAGAAGTCATGGAAAATAAAAACTATCATTTTAATCAGTAACATACCTTAGGTGAAAGAATTTTTTCAATGGTTATCTCTAGATTACATTCAAATACATGAGCCTTTGTAAGTTTCTTCTCCCAGTGAGCTGCGAGCCATATTTTGGCCAGTGGCCCTCTTTTACTCATAAGCACATGGGTGTAGAACATGTTGCCTGTATTCCTTAGTAATTTTTAACAAATTAGAGAGAAAATGAAAAGATACTTAAAATTTGATAATAAAAACCTTTCAGGACTATTTTACAGCAAGCAAATACATTCTTATCAATTCTATAAAATAACAGATTGTTTAATTCAATATATTTCAAAATATTTTCTTGAAAAAAAAAGAGAAGTTTATTTAGAATATAGAATAATAAACTAATGTCAGGCCAGGGGTGATGGGGCATGCCTCTAATTCCAGCCACTTAAGAGGCTGAGCAGAAAGAATGCAAGTTCCAGGCCAGTCTCAATAACTTAGCAAGATCCTCTGCAACTCAGCAAGATGCTATCTTGAAATAAAAAATGAAAATATTGGGGATGTAGCTCAGCTAGAGCACCCCTAGGTTCATTCAGTCACCAGTCTCCACCCCCCACACACAAATTATAAACTAATGACAGAGCTCTAATAGTTTGTTAACTATATCTGGTTTAAATGTATCCTAATCAATGATCTCTTCCTAGGTTTTATTTTATCCTATACAGAATTTGAGATCATACTGATGCGGTCAAATAAATAAAGGAGAGAGGCTGAAGAAATAGGAGATGGTAATGGGAAACAATAGAATAGGAAAAAGTGGACAAAACTAAGAAACAGAATTTTGAGAATTTGTGAAGTATTGGGATCATTGATTCATATTCAAGTGTTGAATTTCTTTGTTTTCTTCAAGATGCTCTGGTTTATTCGACTAATTTTTGAAGTTAAGACAGTAGAATTCTAAAGGACTATCAGAAGAGAAAAATGAAGAAAAAACGAAACTATAGGTTTAAAATGAATCAGAGGTGGCAAGAAAAGAAACAAATTTAAACATTTTGAAGTAAGAATGGTAACAAAAACATCCTCACTTGACAAGAAAGTACTATACATTTCTACAAACTGTACTATTCTTTTTTTTATTTGTTCTAATTAGTTATACTTGACAGCAGAATGTATTTCGATTCATTGTACACAAATGGAGCACAACTTTTCATTTCTCTGGTTGTACACGATGTAGAGTCACAGCATATGTGCAGTCATACCCGTACCTAGGGTGCAAACTGTACTATTGATAACATTTTAAGGCTCCATAATGAAGCCCAAAGTGAGAAGAGATTTTACAGCACTTTGGCTGACTCCTAGAGAAGAACCAAGTACTGTCTACATGTAAGGAATCTTAAACTAAGGTTACTGAAGCTTTTTTTCTATTTCAAGTTTGGATAAGAGAACATTGAGCCAAAATGAACACAACGTCGGCCACGGAATTATAAACGGAGTGAACTTTGATCAATGCCCATTTTCAAGGCCAGAATCACCTCCTTATGCTCAAAACTATAGGTTGTGCAATTACCAAACCACAACCCCCGCGGGACACCTAGAGATTTCGACGTTTGAGGTTTATGCCTTGCGTTGGCTCCACTTTCTTTTCTAATGGGTGTCTTTGGGCATCTTGGAATAAAGTCCAACTTATCTTTTGAAATTGCTCCCAGGTGAGAGATCCTTTAAAAGGACCTTTTAAGTAACCGATTAAAAAAAAAAAAAAAACCTAGACCCTGAGATTTTTCTTTTTCTTTGAGATATTGATTTTCTTAAGCATATACTAATCAAACCAATCCTCCTCACCCCCTCCCCCCAAAAAATCACCCTTCCAATACCCCACAACCCTGGGGGTTCTTCCTAGATTGACTCTGCTTCATGCGGAGTAAAGCCAATGACAGTGGGTGGGAGGAGGCGCCAGCGCCCGAGCTGCAGGGTGACAGCGCGCAGGAGAGCCGGGCAGGGGCGGGCGAGCCGAGTGGGCGAGCCCCCAGGGCAGCGAGAGCCGGAGAGGGGCG